GAAACCAAGGTCTATTTGGGAGCTGGGAGAGCAGGTAGGGCAGCCATTGAGACTGGGCAAGGGATGGGGCCAATTCAGAGATCTGGCCGATTTGGTGGTGGCTGAATCTCTGAATCAGCTTCAGCCAAATTGGTTCAGGACAGTGATTCGAACCACCGAATCGAATCACTGTCCTCCGAATTGGCTGAATTCGAATCCAAAGTGAGTACTAGCCATTTTGCACTGGCCTAGTAACTGTGGATACTGGATTGGGACCCAACACCTATACCTTTGTTCCAGGCGAGCACAACCCTCAGACAGACCACAACACCTGCCAGTTGATAATAGGCGAGTTTATTGATACAGAGTAAGAACAAAAAAGCAACAATATAGACAATCAAACAATTCTATATCTACCAGTCCTAGGGCTGTTATCAGAGTCAAAGTACATCTGGTTAAGATGCAGGCTCCACTCTGAGGCTCCTTCTCTTAGGTGTCAGCAGTCTGGAGGTGGGATGCTAAGGCCCACAATCCTCATCCAGTGAGGTGCATGAGACAGGCTGCTGGCGTGTGCCCTCTGTCCATGGCGGCTTTGGGGAATGGGGACGGGGATGGAGACCCCTTTCAGGGAGTAAAATGGGGAGGGATGGGACAAAGGGAGGGACGGGACAAAGGAGGGCCCATTTGCTAATTTCAAGTCACTGCTTTTGTTTTCTCCTTCCCCCTTGATGACTCCTGATGACTCTTCATCCGTGGCTATCTTTGGTTGGTTGTCTCTGTGTGGTCACAAGTCTATGTAGCCTTCCAGGCCTTCTCCTAATTTGGTCTGTTCCCCCAAAACCAGGACTTACGACCGCCTGGTCTCTGAGGCCTTGGTGCTGATATCATTTATTTTGTGTTATGGGACAGTATGGTACATACTTCTTTGGTTCCCAGGCTGTTTCCTAGACTATGTGTCATTGTTGGTCTTGTTGTGCTAGACAGCCCATCCACTTTCATTTTCACAAGGGTGTTCAGCTGTATGCAAATAGTAGGGAACTTGGGTTTGATTTAATGATGATATCAATTTCTATGACCTAGAATCACACTATACGCTCAATTTTGGATATAACATTTGCTTTTAATATTAAACTTGTTGAACTGCTCAGTAAGCACAAAGTCACTTTTGGTGGAATGTATTTCCATATATTTTAATGCTTTTTGAAATAAACAATTATGTGTTTGGTAGCAGTCTTGAAATTCTATTTCTGTTAGTTATTCATGGAGGGAGAGGTTCTTTGTGGCGTTAATGCTATTTAGAGATCTTTATACATATTTTTCTTTTATTTGTTCTACACCTGGCACATACTTCAGGATAAACAATAACATGCATCTAGAAGATGAGATTTAGCCTGGGTGAAGGGAATGCATTTTGAAAAGTCTAATTTTTAAAACAGCTTTTGGCTCAGGATTGTGACATATTTCCTTAAGAAAAAAGGCATTAGAATTCAAAAAAGATCTTGGTAAATTAGAGAACTGTGCTTCAGCCCAGTGCTGCTTAGTGCAGGAGTTGAACAGTGCAGACATGCCTGCCTTTGGATTTGCATGCTGCAGACTTCTGCTGTTCATTCTTGTGGGTGTCCGCGCCTATCCCATAAACTATCGAGTCCTGAATGGAGGGTAACTTTTGCTTTTGTAAGTGTCCATGCCCTGTGGCTTTTTGGGACTCTACACAACAGTAACTATTCATTCTAAAATAGTACTCAGACACCCCAGAAGGGCATGAAGAAAGAAGCAAAGCCTGATAAAATAAGTAAATATTAACAATGTTGACAGGCTGTGTATGTAATAGGAATCCCTAGATGTCAAGCCAAGGCAAACCAAAACAAAATGTGATTAATCAAAATTCTCGATGTTCGTGTGGTCAGTTACATTCTAATCGATATCTGATAAACACTTTTACTTATATGATGAGAGTCACTGGACAATCCTTTCTTCCCCTTTTTACAGCCTTTGAAAAGGGCAAATGGGGAAAAATGGGAAGTTTTGACACTTGACAGGGTGTTCAGGTGGAAGGGGGGTAACCTATAGATTGGTTCAGCAGAAATCTGAAGGGACAGTGAGAGAAAGTCTGTCTATCTCAGAGTCAAAAGGGAACGAGGAAGGTTTATGTGGCCTTCCATGGAAAACTTTAACTGACTTAGTTTTGGCTAGAGTGCCTGGGAAAAGAAAACCTGTTTGGTTCCAGACACAGTGCAGCCAACAAGGAAACTTATTTTCAGTCCTTGACTGTCTGACTGTAGAAGAAGAATCTCTGTGTTTAGGGTATTACATTTTTATACTGTAAGAGGGAAGGACACAGCAGATGCTAAGATGAAAACCATGCTGGGGCATGTGACTTAACTTTACTGAAGGTGAAACACTGAGTTAAGAAAACCTCTTTTTCCTGGCACTGACAGAAGATTCACTGTTCTGAGATAAGTGGTGCTCTTGTCTGTCTCAATACAGGTGTCCCCCAGCTTCAGGTGATGAAAGACTGTAGTAAAAAATAAAAAAACCTTGGACGGCTTTCCTGGTGAAGTTTAACCTATGTTATCTCTGTACCTTGATGTTGACCAACAGTCAGTTGCCACAGCTGTGGCAATAGGAGACACAAGAAGATCTGCCTGACAAAGCAGCTGAGGAAAGAATCAAAAGAGGAGGAGAACTCCATGTGAGCTCTTGCAAGTTCTGGATCAGCAGGATGACATTGCTGAGATATGTGCTCATTCAGATCCTCTGGGCTTACTCTTCCCAGGCAAAAGGTAAGCTATGAAATGCATCAAAATATTCAGTCATTTAGACTAGCCCTTGCTTGGCACAGTGTACCTGACAAAAGTCCTAAGTCCAGCACAATTCTTACATTTTTGAGTCTACCTACATTGAACCATTTACCGTGTGATCACACAGAATGTGCAGGCAAGGTTCTTTGGGTAGGTGTAATAAAACCAGACTACAGAATGTGCATGTATTTCTAGCAGCAGCATGGGGCATGGGCTGGAAATACAGTAGGGCCCTTATGAGATTTTGCCCCCTCCCTGCTTGTAGACACACACTGGGGAATATCCCTGCAAAGGAATGGGGTGCATGTCTATGAATTAGAATGCCTATCGGAGTTTCTTCTTTTTGCTCCTGCAGTCACAAGACAGAGGAATCTCCTGCAGGAGATTCCCTTGTTTCCCAACATGGAAGGATGTGTTTGCAAGCAGACATTTTTCTCTAATTGCAAACTCCACCTCCAACACAAGTTGTGGCACCCAGGAATGTTTGGCATTCAGCTCCACAGCTGACCACACTCGAGGACAATGTTTCTTTCCAGCCTGTCACACCTACCAGTCCTTCAAGGATATTCACCACACTGTTGTTATATTTCCAGAGTGATTTCTGACCATCAAGCATTTATTAAAGGGGCTATCCCATCATGCTAGCATTCTGTTGAAATCATTTCAAGTTAACCAGATCCCGGACAATAAGCTGCTAGGAACCCTATTGCTCTAATAACTGAGAAAACCTTATCAATTAGAATGAGAATTTGGAAGTAGACCCTAGCATGATCAGACCTTGTGCAAGCTCAAATGGAAAACCTCAGTTGAGAAAAATGGTTTATGAAGGGAGTGGCAGGTTGGCTAACATCTAGTGAAGAGATTAGTATTTGGACCATCTTCTGATTGTTACCCGACCTTTACCATCCTCTCTACTTAGCAGTCTACTCCTCTCCACTCTGTCATTTTCACAGAGTTAATTCCTGTGAACAGCCTGGATGTGTCACAGTTAGTCTGGTCTAGCTACAAACTGGTAATGCCACTGAGATGGAATAGTTTTTTAATTACAAAAGACACAAGGGCAACCTGCTTGCGGAAGAGAGAATTTTTTAACTGAAAGGTTTGTTTTCTGGTATCACAATCTGAGTAACCTAACTTCACTTACAAAATCAAACTGGCTCCTCATTGAAGAGGGGCTGCAATTCCAACAAGTGCTGAAGCCTTACCCACAGAGAGTGACCTCCTGGTGTGTGCTCCAGGCTCCTTCCTCCTGCAACCTGGGCCCTTTCCTCTAAACTCTCTACCAATGGCTGCAGGTTTGCTGAGAACAAGACAGAAAATTTAGGTTTGAGTCTTCTGGAAAATATCTATATACTACAGAAGCTACCAAATCAGTGTAACAAAACCTGACAGAACAAGCTGGAGTATTTCTTTTGGTGTTAATGTCTTGACTACACCTAGGATCACCCACTCTGTGTGTGTCCTGTTTGTATAGTGCCGGTATGTGAACAGCCCCCTGAAGTGGATTTTGGTGACATTTTCAGTGGTGAAAAATCAGAATATGTGGAAAGTGACAGAGTGCAGTACCACTGCTACCCTGGGTACACGCTGGCTGGAACTGAATGGATAACATGTAATGGAGGAAGCTGGACCCAACTGCCAAAATGTCTAGGTAATTAGCAAGTATTTTGCTTGAGGTGGGTTAGGTTTTTGGGAATCTGTAGTCCTCAGTATTTAGTCATAGGCAATTGGCTCCATAGCCAAGAATTTGTTAGGCCCATATGGGATGAAAGTGGTGCCATCCTTCTGATTACTTCTGTGAGCTGCACTGGGGCATTTGATGGAAATATTTGACAAAGAGGAAATTGGGCGATTCTTTAATTTCCACCACTGGATTTTACAGCACATTCTCCCCACGGGTACAACGTTTTCTTCATCTAGAATGATGTTGGCACAACCTTCCTTCCCTGTACCTAGAATTGCTTGTCTCTTCAAATCCCTCCTGAAATTCCTCCACTGTACCTTAATGACATGACTTAGGACATCAGATGTTGAGGAATGCCTGATGTCTTCCCTTCCAGGGATGGTGGAAGACAATAGAAATACTACAGTCGTTACCTTCCCAAGCTCTGCGTGGAATCACTGAGATTCCTTGGTCACTCCCAAGTGTTGAGTTGGCAACAAACTTACTTCTCATCTTACCTATCCACATCTGCTTGTTGCATGAGATACTAGTTTAAATTGTGATGGGAAAAAATGGATCAGGCTTGTGCATGTCTAGAACTGACTGTTTGATTGGAAATAGCATATTTAAGTTTTTCCTGATTTCATTTAGCTCCGTGCACTATCACTAAGCAGCAGCTGGAGGAGAAAAATCTGTTTGTACGCAATAACCGAAGACGTACAGTTATACTTCTGAATGCTCAAACTGTGGAGTTTTCCTGCAGCAAAGGATATATCCTCACTGTTCCATCTGTCAGGATGTGTGCTGATGGACATATCCTTTTCCCACTGTGTATCCCACGTAAGTATGATCAATCACAAAAATTTTCTCTGGAGTGAAATGATGTAAGAAAGTGCTATTCGGAACAGAGTGAAGTGTGAGAGTGGGGATCAAAGTAGGCAGAAAATAAAGAACTGTGGGTGACAGTAGATCAGGAAGAAAATGTGAGGAAATGTGGGCCAAGAAGGTGCTTAGTTTTTCTCTTTGGCTTGAAGATAAAAGTTAAAACAGCAATAATCTCCTTCAGGAAAACGTTCATCCTCTTAGGTCCTGAGTACTGTCCCTGCTGCTGGATACACCAAATATTAAGAATACTCCATACTAAATGTGAACAGGTTTTATCATGAAAATGAATGGGTGTCACCCTGGTCCCCCTCGTTTAATTTGATAAATGTAATGATTATGGTAAATAACCAACATAAAGTCCTAAATATACAGATGATCTTTCTTCCTAAACTGCTATATAAATAATTACCCTAATCCTTCAGATCTTCTTCTCATGAATAATCCCTGCTCACAGAAGCAGTGTTAACAGTCCCACACTCTGCCATTGGGATGTGGCTTCCATAAAGTTTCACCTTGTACTTTCAATGTCTTTTTTGTTTCTATTGATTTTGTGTAGAAACTGGGAAGAAGTGTGGACATCCACCTACTGTTGATAATGGAGTTATAACTACTTTTTCCCAGAAAGAGTATGCCTCTGGGTCCTCCGTGGAATACAAATGCCAAAATTTTTACACATTGGATGGACAAAATACATCTTTCTGTAACAATGGAAATTGGACACAACCACCAGCCTGTGTGGGTAAGATTCCTTCTATGACCAGAATGGTTTGTTTTCACGGGAACTCTTGCTAACAAATGGTAGATATGCATAAAGGCACCCACTTTACTCTTCCTGGGTTCAAAATATTACTAAAAAAAGCAGTAACACAGAGTGATTTGATTATTAAAAATCTGACTATTTTACATTCTTTTGAGGGAAGAAGTTATTAAGATTTTTAAAAAAGGAGTAGGTTTGTCTGTGTATAACAAGAATATCTAGAACTCTAAGTGATAACCATAAAGAGTTTGAAGGACTAGATAATCTTGCTTTTAACCCATTTAACAATAGTGCTGTAGGGTTTTTAGCAATTGCTAGGGGCCATCTGTTTCCAGACCTCTTTCAGCAGTACAATACAAGACTGTATAAACCTTGATTTTTCCTAGAATGGCAATGTCCAGATTCCTAACCAGACATTTTGTCTATGGACAACTGCAAAAGGAATCTGTAGTTGTTGGAAAAAAAACAGGTGATATATTGTTCAGTGTCTGCTCTTGTTGTACAGGACATCCATGTACCTCTGTACCCTCTTACTTAGGCTCTCAAAATGGAGATCTAACAGGTATATAGATGTGTGCTCAGAAGTGAAGAAGAATGCAACTGGTACAGGGCTCAGGGTCTGTTCAGATTCTTTTGCTGCACCCATCATTGTGATTCTCAAACATCTAGGATGCAAAACAGCAGCACAGACACAAAGAATATGTATAACCTCAGACCAGGCTTTAAATACTTCATGCCCTGTAATAGTTTTATTTTAAATTTTTTTCTTATCCCTCGTTTTTGTTTAACGTCTCCTAATAGATCTTTTCTTTCCTCTATTCTGTGACTGCACCACTTGAATTTGAATGGAAGGAGGAATGCAATAATTTGTAATGTGACATCTTCTCATTATGCTGCACGTGCTCTCTGAGCTTATTAGAAAATGCACATCAGACATTCCTGTTTTTCCTCATTCTAGGGCCATGTGCTGTCAGTGTGACAAAAATGGAAAGCCATGACATAGAGCTGAGTGAGAGGTCAAAAGGAAAACAATACATCCCCCATGGTGATTTTGTTCAGTTTAAGTGCAAACTGGGGTATGCACTTCCTGCCCTGTTGTCTACTTCTGATTTTACTGTTTGGTGCTATTCAGGCAATATTTCTTATCCCCAGTGCCATAAAAGTAGGGATTCCTTTCTTGAAGTATTGTTGTTTGGTGACTTTCTGAACTAGTAGGATAGACTAAACTTTCCCTAGGCTTGAAAATTAAGGAAAAGGCATGTCAAAAATCCATGTTAACATTGTGTAGAGAAATTTCCTTGTATTTTTTGAGATGGCTTCAGATTTTTTTTCCACAGAGGGTGTATCTATACGAGATGTGTTAATGCTCATTAGCCTAATTCAGTGTTCGTTATGGGCATGTGTCTACATGTGCATAACCTTAATGTGCATTAAAACTGGCAAATTTAAGTTAATCACACCTAAATTTTATACCTACAAATGCAGTTAGTTAAAACGCTTTAGCACATGGTTAGACGTGACCCAACATTAACTTTAGTGCCAGGTCTGCCTAGCCACTATGGGACTGTCCTCAGCCCAGCCCCAGGGCTCTATTCCGGGTGTCTCTCCTGCCCCAATCTGGGCTGCTCGGTGGCAACCCCTGCCTTTGAGTTATAAAAGCTGGCAACCATGTCCCACACTGCCTGACCCCCATCCAGGGCCCTGCATAGCTCCTGGGTCCCACTTGCTGCCCCAAAGCAGGTCCCTGCCTGGCCCTGGGAGGAGCTCCTCTGGTGCTTCCTGCCCACATAAGCCCCTGGCCTGGCCCTCACCCAAGGTCCCCCGACATGCACCTGGGCCCAGCCCTGCCACTTGCCCTGAGGTCATGAAGCTGAAAACTCAGATGAGGCAGGCACAACATCACAGGGGGATGCTGGCCCTGGACTCAAAAAGGCAAAGGGGGAGCTACCTGCAACTGAGTACATGCCCACCACACACAGGGGAATGACCTGAGGCTGGGGTGCTGGGCACGTATTCCTGGGCTCTGCCCCCTAGGCCCTTCCACCCCATGACCCCCCACTCTAGGACAGACAAACTGAAACTTTTTTAAATAGTCACTTTGGGAAGAGGGTTTTTTATTAGTGGTGGGTGAGGAAGGGTGGGGGATGGGCTCTTTGTGTTGGGGAGGAAGTGCTATGTGTTGAGGGGGAAATGATCGGGGTAGGGGTTGTGATGATAATAAAGCTTTTTTCTTTTGACCGTTTGCATGTCCTGAGCATGGTGCTCAGGGTGGGCAGGGGGTAAGGGATGTGTGGGCAGTGGGACAGGTGGCCTAAAGGAGGGAGTGCTTCATGAGGTGGTCCACCAGGGCCTCTCTCTGTCATCTTGAGGGGGGCCATGAGGGACCACCAGTGGCCTTGAAGGCAGCCAAAGGTGCACTTGACAAGGGCACAGGTTCTCCCAAGGCACTGGCTAAAATGGGCTTGGTGGGGGTCCTGGTGTCTTCTGTGGGGCTTCATGAGCCACAGGAGTAGTGGGTAAGCTGGGTCCCCAATAAGGAGGGGTGGGATGACAACAGGGTCCAGCTGCATGTCCTTTACTCCTGGCTCAGAGCTCCCACTCTCTATGAGCACACCCAGTCCAGAGTTCTGGAAAACATGCATGTTGTGTGCTGCCCACCCAGGTGGCACTGTTAGTTTCATAGTCAGTAGGGTCGGAAGGGACCTGAGCAGATCATCAAGCCCAACACCCTGCCATGGCAGGAAAGAGTACTGGGGTCAAATGATCCCAGCAAGGTGATTGTCTAGCCTTGTCTTAAAGACCCCCAGGGTAGGAGCCAGCACCACTTTACTTGGAAGTTGGTTCCAGATCCTAGCAGCCCTGACCGTGAAGTAGCGCCTCCTGAT